AGCATTCTGTCCATCACTAAAGCTGGGTGCTCATTCCAATATGTAAATCCGAATGGAGTGAACGAGCAAAAAATTCCATTACACATAGGTACAGTTATTTTATTCATATTTAGATAGCAGTTTATCCAAAATTATATTCTAAAAATAGCTAGGTTAAGAGGATGTATCCCGGCAATTTCAAAAGTCTTTAGTTTGTCCATGTGTATCCGATATGGCTACTTTGCATTAAATGTTGTATTCGATAAAATACGTGCATAATTGATAAACATAATATATATATATATATATATATATATATATATATATATATATATTATTTAAATTTTATGCTCTTATTGCTGTACATAGGTGGACTATGGCCGTTGGCATTATCTACCAGTCTGACCTTTGGTATTATTTATTACCTACCAGACTGATATATACCTAATAATTCCAATTATTGAAAACTACAGTACCATACACATTGCAGTAAAATATTGCCAGTTTGGCAGCAGCTGATTGCTGATATCACCAGTCGAGAAATCGTGTTCTTAGTTTTTAAGTCCTAGTATAAGAATTTAGGCTAGAAAATAGTTTATTTGTAGTGTGCTATGAACCAAATATATTTAAGCGCACTTTGAGCGTTAGAATAGGAACTCAATGTATATGACACTTACTATTATTATTATCACCTTCATAGGCCACCCTCTGCTGAGCAAAGGATTTGCTGAGTTGAGTTTTTTTGCGAAACTTTCTGCCTTGCACAGCAAAACTTTAAAATGATCTGTTGGCGGCGGTATTTCCAAACCGATTCGACGTACAAACGTACAAAACGCGTGCATCCTCCCCTTTAAAAGCTGGCAACGCGCTAGTGATTATTCCACTGTTGCAGGTGTCTATAAGCGGCTCAGATCACTTCCATCAGCTACTCCGTCTACTCGTTTGCCTACTATTATTTAAAAACAGGCTTATAACGTTTGCTTTAGGTGGAATTACGATTTCAAACTTACCTATATTTAGAACAGTCCACAAATCCTCACAAAATGACTATTTTCGCCGTAATTCTGCGGTCTCAATAATCTTACAAAGTATAAATAACTCGAAAAACTCATTGATACGTCCAGGTTTCTAGTCTTCAGACGCTTGCATGAGAAGCGGGCACTTTAGTATCCACGATGTACATTATTGACACAGATATAATACTACTACTACTTGAAAATGTACGTCAAGTCAATTACATTAAGCTTATTATGTCATTGGCTTATAGCAAGTATGAGATGAGATCTAACGTCCTGTATTGGACAAAACCGAACCGCACGCGTTTTTCCATTGTTTCAATCCATACACGGGCCATTTTGAATAGCGTTTATGTCATTTGTCCAGCGAGGCAGGTCAACTTGCTTCCAATCTGTTTTACTGCAATAGATTTTTGAAGCAAAAATATCTCATAACTCGATGTTATAATGTGTTGTTGTTAGGTTTCCAAATTACTTGTCTAACCGCCATCTTCGTTCCATTTTTGCTCCACATCTTTGTGTTTATAAACATTAAAAGACCTAGTGTTAACTGTGTTTGAAGGAAGATAGCAAAGAGTTTTATCTATCACAAAATAAATTAGTAAATCTTTTAACTAAACAGATTTAAACATGTTGATCTGTTGGAGATTACACCCTTAGCAAACATATCGCCTATGGCATAGCTATGTGAAAGACCATCTATTAAGTGACCAGAAAGGATAATGTATTTTTATTTAATTTGGCACATAATTAATTCCTGTAAATTGAGTTGCTATTTCGTTCGCTTTGATTGAAAATGCTGTTTCCTTATAAAATGCCGTTTGTTTCAATGTCAGATAAAATTATAAGAGTAGTAGAAGTTGAAATGTTTGCCTGTACACAAATTGCTTGTGTAGAAGCCGACACTTCAATATTTGTCTTTATTACGGGACAACAGAGTTGATATCTATCAAAGACTACTTTTAAATAAAGTAGTCTTAATTCACTATTATTGTACTTGATTATTCGCGTTTACTTGAATTAAAATTTTTAATAACTTTAAACAAACGCGAGTAATTCAAGCGAATGTACATATATTAACTTAAGAATGTTAGTACTAAGGGCAATTTTTATTGTATTATAAACAATATTACTAGGTCTTTCCTATTAATACATGTATTCATAAAGAGTAAGTTTGTCTCAGAGATAAAAGTATTTATGAATAAATCAAAATATATGAATTACTGCTGATATCACCAGTGACAAACGTGTTCGTAGTTTGTACCTACTAGGGAGGCTGAAAAGTTTTGACCCTGAAGTTTTACTTTAAAAGTATAATGATTTGCGCATCGCTCCATCATCGGTCAAACTCAATAACTTATCATGTTACTGTAGATAGAGTCGTCCTCAGTCGAAAAGAAATTATTCCAATTTGTAAAATACTTATATTAATTACCTACAGCTTCGTTCTTTAATTGAAGAAAATAGTCGACTGTATGTTTTTGAAAAATCTAGAGAATTAGTTATTGTCATTTTATGATGAATGATGATGTAGGAACACCACGACTTCCTTAACATACAATTTCAAATAAAATTTATAAATAGTTGTCGTTTCACACTTTTCTGAAACAGTATTACGTTTGACAAGTTGGAATTATCATATTTTTAACAAATTATGTTTAGTGTTTTAATCTAGACTAGATGTCTCTTTTCTCTCTTTATCTAAAATCACTTAAGACTTGGGCTCTAGCACCACCCATTTTGGCTTTTATTATTTACATATTTTTTTCGCGATATGACACCCCACATTATTTACCATTTGCCTTTTAGTGGTTGGATCATAAACTCCTCTACATCTAGCATCCGCGAGATCTTAATAATACCTTAGAATCCGAACTTTTCAGCCGCCACAGAAGGTATTAGGTATAAGCACAAATTATGTATCACATCAACTATTAAAAGATCTATTATCTTATGTGTATTTATGAAAATGTAAAAGGGAACATATAATGAAATGATGGATTTTCTGTGTTAATAAACTGTGTGATAGTCTGTGTGTTAATAGACACTTAGGAATATTGTACAGATCTTTTATGAAAGGATTATATTAGAGCTTTCCGTGTTCGTTAAATACTAAGCACCTGCAATGTGTATAGAATTTGTTAAGCCGCTTAGTGTATCAATAGTAAGTAGTCTTGTCATTTGATACTTATAGAAATGCCCCTGGGCGCATATTTAATTATTATTCAACTAGAAATATATATATGTAATGAAGTGTCTCTCGACAGACGATATTCGAGAAGATAATGTATCTTATGTAACTGTATTTATTTCTGTTAATGGGCTGCAAAATACCACTTTTATGGCTGTGGGTTTCCTGTTTATAGACTAAGAAATTCAGAGTCAAAGTTTGTCTCGGTGGTTCTTGTTTTTGTAGAACAAGATATCAGTGACAAGCTTTGTAATTCGTAGTGACGTGCCGACAGCGAACTAAGTTCGATCTTAAAACGTAAGTAGCTTTTTTTAAACGTATGTATTTTATAACCAAACTAAATATTTTAATATTAAATTAGCGAAGTGAAACTGCGCAAATCATTGTAGATAGGATGTCTTAGTGTGACATTTTTCTAGTCTTATATCTGAATATAGTTTTTATGTTCTTAGGCTAAAGATAAAAACGTATACATCTAATAAGTAATGCAAGTGTAAATGTTTAACGTGAAGTATTTATATACAAGTTATTCCTATAATAATACTGTGTCGGTTTGTTTATATTATATTACTGACGATATCGCCATAAGGGAGCCATGTTCTTAAAATTGTTTAGATTTGATATAGGTACGTCGATGTAGTCCAATTCAACTCGAAAGTTTTTACTGTATTTTAAGCATTTTCATAACAGTAAATAGTTTATCTTTGTACCTATAAAGCATTTTTGTAAAAGAAATATTAGTTGTGTAACCATAATTAATAACACAATTAACACTGAAGTAATTATTTAAGTAAATATATGTACGTATACATTCAAGGCATACATGTGAATGCCTTGATGTATAAGTACTTACATAACACCTAATATCTAAGAAAAAAACGGAGTTCATTGTCTAACTAGTGTTGCCTCGACTGTGTGTTGCCTCGACTCTGTGTTCTAGTCGTACTAACGTAATATGTATAAGTATGTCAAGTTTTTATATCTGTGGCTACGTTCTGTTTATATCTTGGCTATAATGTTTACTATTCCAGTTGTATTAATAATATAAAACATGTATACTTAACACAGTATCGTATTGAAGTAGGTTGTGTTTTAGATTTCAGTTTTCTGGAAATATTTCTGCTACTTATTGTAACATTTTGTATGTCATTTAAATAAACATTAACCTTCATAATATAAACGATTGCATTTTAATTACCTGCACCTCTATCACCATTAAAGTTTCCTAAACACCAGACTGAAGCTACAAACCCGCATTCACTGCGCCTTCATGAATACCAACCTAATAAATATTCATGAGACTCGAGTTTTCCCGCGTCGCGCCGCTTGCATACGTCATGAAGTCTTGTGCAAGTGCAACAGATGGCAGTAGCTGTATCTACGAGCCACAAATCAAAGTTGTCAGTAAAGTTTTCTGTGACGAGTAACTTAGTTCGCGATGTATCGATGTAATATTTCAAAGTTCTATTTTTTATTCCGACGTTGTTGGGCGCCGATTTCATACTTTTTATTTAAAATACTCTTAAAAACGAATTTCTACAGCAAATATTACTGGTTAAATCAATATTTAGAAATATAAAGTCATCTAAACTTTACGAGCTAAAGTTTGCAGAAAATCTATGAGATCGAAGCTTCTTAATTTAATCATTTAAACTATTGTAAGCTATTTATTTTATTAATATTACTATAATTCAAATTCAACAATTGTATTTTTTTACTTTGCTGCAGGTCTTGTTTTAATCTGTAGTGTACTAAGTGTGTTTAATACTTGGCAAATTAATTTTTATATGTTAGGTACATATACTGGATTTTAACTGGCGTTTTTAATAAGTCTTTAATGTTTTTCTTTACAGATTACACTTAGGACTAGAATGGATTGCGAGTAGAATAAAGAAGAAATGACAAGACGTGTGTGTGTGTGTGCGACTAGTAATTTTATAAATAGGTATATAAGTAATCTTGTTAAAGTTACATAAATTCTAATTCTTAATTAACTGTTTGCATTATAATTGACGAAATAATAATTCCTTAAGAGATACCTATCTGGATTACTGTCCGTTGTTTTGAGTGAATGGGGTATATTTTAATTATAATAATAATAAATAAAACAAATTCTTGTATACTTTATTTATTTTCATTTCACCTACTACAAGTTTTCAGACAAAAATTGTACACACAATTAAAGTTTCTAGGGTTATGTCTATGTAATTACATCAAGTACAACCAAATTATACAACGATTTTACTGTTCTACTAATTGAGAAACAAGTGCATAAACTAAACATGGTCTGCTTACAATTACTGTTGATTAACATCAATATTTTCAACTATTTAAAATCTAAATTTCATTGACTAAACATTATCGATGGTAATGATTTCAAGTTAATAAACCTTATCACATTAATAAATATTTAATGTAGAAAAACGTTGATATCGGTGCACGGTACTAAAATTATAATATTAGCTATGACATTTCAAAACAACTAGTTTTGAAGTTACAACAAGCCATAAATAATAATAAAAAATATGTCCATTTAATTGTACTAAGTCTAACTTAAATGTGGCCATTTCTTTATGTAAAAAATAATCTTATTTCAATTAAATAGATTCACACTTTAACATCAAATATATACAAAATACATTAACAAAATGGAAATAGCGCGACTGAGTTAACCAAATACGAGAACAAGCCTATGTAATAAAACTAAACAAAATTAATGTTTGGTCCTTCAAATGCAATTATAAAATAAGCCTTATTAAAAAAATTCTACACAGATCTTTAATTTGTCGAATGAATTCATTTACTAGTTTACTTATTTGTTCTTTGAGAACTGCATAATTTTTATTAATAAGGCATTATAACTAAGGCAAGGTGAAACCAGGCGTCTGAACTCATACATAATAATATGTAGACAGACACCCTCTAATATGCCCTGCATACGCATTAAATTATAACTAACTATATTAAATTTAACTCAAATATCACTTTCAAACTTAAAAAATACTTAAATGTAAAAAAATAAGAAACACAACCCCTAGTATCATTTGACACATGCATCGCATCTAAAGTATAAACAACATGATTGTATTGTAATTAAACAGACGGAACGAGCACTCTCCTCATTGTTCAAAATAATTTATCAATTCCAAAAAAATAGGTAACTAACATATTATAAATAGATTCAGCTATGTCATGCCCCCTATCACAGTACCTATTATGAATGTATATATTTATTTATTATAACACACCGCTCTCCGTGCATAGAGTCTGAGCGTGACAAGAGTATTGAAGAAAACGTGTCGTAGATTAAAATAGAAGAAAATAATATACAAAAGTGAATGAGAAAAGTTTAATAAGTTATAGGAGATTCAAATAGACTATAATTAATTATTTGTAATAGAATCAATAGATGAACAGGTATAACATTTGGTCCTGAGGTAGATTTATCTAGTTCGTCGAAATTTCTGCTAAACTTAAACAGCCATCGGGATCGACAATAAATTATTATATCATTTATTAATAAATAACATCAGGTTGTAGGGCGCAAATTACAATGACTTAGTGAGTGCATAACGTGGATCGAAAATAACTGTAACACCAATTTATACTATATCGCGGCCCGCTAGCACGGGGCCCGACTAAAGTACCATCAAAATTGTATCTTCCTACTTATCCCACTTAGATAACATGGCCGAGGTGTGGTTCGGCTGTAAGTTCACGATAAACTTTGTAAATTATTATAAAATTACAAATGTGTTACACCTATTACTACTAGCAGTCTTTAAAACTTGATCTTGTAAGTTTTTACCTCCATTGCATTCAAGTGGATGTCACTCAGACCTGTGAGGGGCCGGAGTGTCTTCAGGCCGGTCAGACTGACTGCAGTAATATTTTGAATGTTCAGACCATTGAACCTGGTTTTGGACGAAAACTTGGCAGACTTGGCGATTGGCTTCTCTCCGACGGCGCAGCTGTACCCTGGCCTGTGCAGCACCATGTAGCTCTCGTTGCTGGGGAAGAGCTCGAGCACGTCGTCGGTGATGGTGCGCAGGGTGAGCAGGTGTATGCCGGGCGGGAAGCTCTGCAGGAACGACTGGTACGGCTTCACCTCGACGTCGCCCACCTCGCTGGTGTCCACCAGGTACACGTTGACCGGGTAGTTGAACATCCTGCTCAGGTAGTCTGCCGTCTGCGACGGTACTTGATAAGGGCTCTCCTTTTGGCCGGGGCCAAAGCGTCGCTCGTTCACAAATTTGAATCCTGGTTCGCTGGTGTCTCTTTTAGCTCGCGTCACGCCCGGCATGGATTCGATTAAAATCCAGTTTTGGAAAGTCGTTGGTTTATTGTCGACCACTCCTTCGCCGATGCCTCTAAAGTCATCATACAGAGTTCGACGATCGAGCATGACCTCTAAGCGTCCCGGTTCGTATGCGGCTGCGCCTTGAGCGTGGTTCGTCAGCAGAGTAAGCCGGGTCTCCTCATCTTGCAGCCACGCCATGGTGGTGATTGGGTAATAATTAGCTTCTATTCCTAGTTTATTAACTTTGACCCTCTTTTGGTATTGGAACCCGTTCTGATCGGTGTAAAATTCGGGAATGTCACCGTTTTGTATATCAGTCTGTAATCTCATAAATAACTCAGTCTCTCTGTTCTTAGGTGGCGCTTCAAAATCTACATCGGTCTCTAAGAGAATGGCACGCGACAGCACCGGGTCCGGAATGTTGAATATTCTAATAGTGTGCACTAAAAAGGGCAAGTACATGGTGGTGATCTCCGTAGAGATCGGTCCGGACACTATGATGATGTTGTCGTCCTGCATATTGTTCTGGTTAGTGTAGGGATGCAGGACATTTTTCTCCGGAGAGTCGTAATCGGGCATGAACAGATAAGCACCAGAATGCCTTTGGGCACTTTGATACGCGCCGAATTGTACGTCAACGACAGTTCTCTTTCGGATATCTTTTCTATAGACTTGCCTTAGAAAGCCGGTGTTCCTGTTGACGAGAAGTTTGAGCACTGCATTTTCTAATTGTATATCACCAGGCATCATTTTCTTAATAGAGAACACATTGGACTTCTGGTATTGTTCACAGTTGTTGCAGAAAATAACGCAGTGGTGGGACGTGTTGGTGTGCTCCTGCAGCTTGTACGTGATGGAGGTGAGGGGCGGGATGGTGGCCACGAACATGACGTCGAAGGTGGTGTCGCTCACGACACTCTTCCCGTTGTCCTGGATGGTGATGCTGGGCATTATCTGATACAGCACGTGCTTCCTCTTGTGACTGTCGTACACACGGATGTTGGACGTATTCGACCTAACTGTGATCACCTCAGTGCGACTCTCAGCCAAAGGATTAAAAAGTATAACTTTCTTTTTGTCAATGAAGGACACTTGCAACTTTTTGGGCGCCTTGCCGTAAGTTTCCCATTCAACCTCACTCTGTATAATACTTTGCGAGTGCAGCGACTGGTCAGGTATCATGATAGTGGTCAGCGCGGCCTCCTGCAGGCGGATGCAATGATACAGACTCGTGAACAGCTTGGTTCCGTAATCTTGCATCACGCTAGACTTTGATGTTCCAGTAATAGCGTCGTGGTGTTGAAACAAGCCCAAGTTCCGTCGCGCGTAGATAAGCTGCTCGTATGATTTTTCTAACTTTTTCTCAGAAGCTCCGAATCCTTGGCGACCCATTTGTTTGATGTAGTTCGATACGAGAGTGAATAAAATTTCTGCCGATCGTAGCTGGTGTTCGAACTGACGAGCGAGTATTTTTTGGTAGGGCCTTGTAGTGTAGTAACCTGACCAGTAAGCCGGTTTTCCTTCGCTAAATATATCCGAGTATACGAAGAAATCTCCTTTCAGACTGGGTATGTTTTGATGTCTCTCCTTCATGGCGTTAAAGTAATCGAGAGGAGTTCCGAACTGTACGTCGGCGTTGAAGATTTCCTTATGAGCATTGATGTAGTTAAACATTTTCATATAGTTGACGTATTGAGCATCAAACTCGACGCTGTACTCGTACCTGAAGTCGTCGCCCAGCGGCACCAGCACCACGTTGTGCGGCGTCAGGGACCCGATGCGGTCGTACTCCTCTATCAGAGTCTTCGCCTTGCTGTGCAAGTTGTGCTCCGTAATGTCTTCGTGCTTAGCTGTGTATTCGGAATACTCGCCGGGGATTTTTCTAAAGTCGAAGCTGAGACAAATGGAAGGATGGGGGCCGCACGTGCTTTTTATTGAATAAATGTCAAAAGGTTGATTGTGAACTATCATGGACGGCTTCGTAGTAGCCCAGCTTGCCAGCCAGTAGAACTCCTCAATCTGCCGCTCGGCCAGCCACTGCTTCCACGCGTAATGAATTCTCTGTATTATAGTTCCTTCAAGGCCGCTCTGGTCTAGCAGGTAAGGCACGGTGGCACCGTGACCGAATGGGTCAATGGACCACCCTGTCTTGGGGATGACGCCGAGGTTAGTTTTCACCCAGTGATGCCCTATGGAATGAATGTTATTGTAAAATTTGCACAAAATTTTTTGATGTGTTCAAAACTGAATGAAATAAATGTGTATTACCTTCGATAAACTGATCAATCAGCGCATAGATATGTGTGCACGCTTCATCGGGCATCACCCAGCCGCCCGTCGTGATCTCGAGGCGACCTTCTTTGATGAGTTTCTTCAATGCCTGTAATAAATTTACTTATTTTATGTTTTGTTAATGAGTATCTACTGCTGAGAACACTTAAAAATAGTGTTCGGCAAGAATTGACCACAATCAGTTGAGTGAGCCGCGGCATTGTTAATTAGTATGCAGGTGTCTGCATGCCTGCTTCTGGTCTTATATCTTATTGTGGCTGTTTCATTAAAACCATGAATAATCGGCAAACGAACATTTAGTTTCATTAATTTTTACAGCAGTTGTACTTCTTCATCCTCGTGTTTCGATCAATGTCAAGTACAAAGAATAGATTATGCATTGTGTATACGAAATGTCTGCGAGCTTATTGTACTACATAAATTTTAATACAGAACAGATAAGAGTGCCTTGTATCGGACAGACTTGAAAGGTGAGATCTTTAAAACCCCTGCCCTATTATATGTGCGTATGTATGTACGCATACGATAAAGCTGAAAACTGAACGAGAATACTCCGCGAAATAAGTGACCCTGAAATAATTGTTCAAAGACAACTTGAGGTTGTAGGTTTATTTACTTATACGATGTACCTTTTGTTTGACAGGGTGCGACCTTTCCCACCAGGCGTTCAGAAATGATATCTCCGTCCAAATGAAGGTCATATTCGGGTACTGGTGCAGTTTGTTTACTATGTTGTTGATAATGTTCTTGGTCTTCCACTCGAAGTACTGTTCAAACGTCTTCAGCCACCCCGGGTCGTTGTGTGAGTGAGGAACCACGATTACCTGACAATCGAGAGAAACCATTGTTTGCTTGCGCCATTCAGACGCACTGCTGTGACATGTATTTGACACGTTGCTAATCAGTCCGTATTATAGCAAACCGGCTTCGTGTCAAACCGTCACATGTCCAAATTAGAACATAATAGTTGAGTGACGCGAAACTGTGCGTTACCTTCAATCTGGGCCGTGTAGTGTCGTTATGAATCCTTTCATACCGATCCTCGAAGGACTTGTCCCAGAATTCTTTTGTACGTAACCAACTCGGCTGAAAAGAAAAACATTTAAATTAGTTTTTGTATGTACGGGCTTCGGTGGCAAAAGAATCGCCTGATGCTACGCTATGTACTAGATTATTAACGAATGCGTAGCCGGCTTTAACGGGGTTAGCAATTTTAGGATTAGGGGGTTTTGAAAATTGGGTATAGATGTAGAGGTAATACTCTTTCCGATTGAGCCTGCCTACTCGTGCTGAAGCAAATTTAATTTTCCTTATTAAACACATTATTGGGTGGAATTCTAAGAATAATGTTTCGGCAGGAAAAACAGTTGTCGGGAACTTAGCAAGCGAAGTTTTGTGAAAACTTTTCACAATAAACATTGTTAGGTTTTCGTAATCGTGCACTCTTGACAGAGAAGTCGTAATCTCGGAAAGTCCTTGAACTTTCCCTTTTCTCTCTTTTCATCAAGTTTTAAAAGAATGAAAATATTAAAACAATACAATTGTGAATGACTTTTCCTTTACTAAATGATGAATCGATTGATGCGTAGTTTGCAAGATAATGTGATATGTACATATAAAAAGTGTATGTGAAGCGATGCGACATAGAAGCCGTTGTGCGGCGGGGTGTGCTCGTAACTTTCATTGGTTTACATTTCTGAAAGTGAGCGCGAAACTCCGGCGATGCACGTCAACCGATCACGAGGATGCTCGAGCTCTCCGCGCCGTCATCGCGTCAGTACTCTGTCCGTGTACTCACACTGACAGCGCACCGCGTGAACATTCTCAATGGCTGAACGCTCAATTTGTTCGCAAACCATATTTTCTTTTCCAATACTCGATACTCTCAGTACATCGTATTCGTTTATTTTTCAGACTATACTATTGGAACAATCAAAACCAAGAATCAACTACTTTCAAAAAAATAGCAAGCTCTATTTTGTGCGGAATGTGCCATACTCCTTTCGTTTCTATTTTTATTGGTACGAAATACATTACCTCCATCAAAAAATGTTACTTTTCACAAGGCCTTATATACATACATCAACCTTCATAATACAAAAATAAAAGAAACCCCCAGTAAATCCGTTGGCTGACGTACCGAGTAAATGGATCCTTTAAGCGACATACATTATTTATTTATCCCTTCAATTCATTTAGCTTGATTACAGTGACCCAATCAAGGTGAAGGGTATTCTATACTAAGAAATGAGGCGTACTCACTATTCGATTTTTTAAGACACGGAATGGCACTGATTCAGCCTAATTGAAGGTACTAGTACCCCGCCCGTGGCTTGGCCCTTGTTGCTACGTTAACGGTTTACAACATTGCGGCGTTTAATTTAATTGAAATAACTATTACCACAAACTTTAAAGAAATTTAGGCTACTGCTTTGAAGCTACGAGCTCTAAAATCTTGATTTCCATTGATCAACTGAAAACTGGAAGTGTAAAGCGCACCTATCCTAACTTAAAAAATGGAGCCGGCGGACACACCTCTCCAGCGATACTGGATTATCTATCACAAAAGAATTGTTCGGAGCCCTGTTTAGTGTCTGGGTACACTAGAGGGAAATCTTATAAAGAAGTTTTATTTGCTGTGAAATATGCAGAAACTTTCAAGTTATTGCACACCCACACGGCTCGAGTGCACCTGGACGATCCACTAAGCATAAGGGTTTAAGAAGTACTTACTAAATGTCCGAGTTTATGCTTGGAACTTCTATTAAAAAAGAAAACTATTGAGACGCTGCTCCTTTGAGAGAGGTTCTTAACAAAACTTCGAGACAAGGTGGATTGCGAAAATATAATACCACTATGCGATACTACAATGATGCATTGTTTGTTATCATTCTGATTGGTCAAAGTTCCAGGTAAATTTTTTGGTATATTATAAAGCGTAACTTGTAAACATTTCTTATTTTCATCACTGTAGCCTTAGAACAACATTTTAACTACAATTAGCAGATATGCATGGAGGTATTGAACTAATCCCAAAGCGATGTCATCTTCGCAGTTTTGTGGGCTTGGCAGTTTTTTGTAAAAGGTTTACGTAATGTACATATATGTGCTTTGTACTCGCATTCATGTTGCAATCCCCCTCGCACACACATTTTTATAGGAAAATGCAACCGCTTTTTTGTGGGTTTTCATAAACTGTTTTAAGAAACAAGCTCTTTCGCCTTTAGTAACTGGTAATCGAACGGTATCCTTACAATATGGCAACAACTTTTGATTGATACGATAAGAAAAGCTGTACTTACACGGTAAAGTCGTAAATATGGCTGAACACGGTTTATGATTGCGTATGTTTTTATGTGGTTTTTATAATGAAATAGTGTTTCTTGCATTGTACATAATGTTACGTGCCTGACGTCACGTTCCTGACTATGCGGGCTTGGGTTACGGGATTGGATGAAATGAAACACTAATACCGGTTTTCAGACTTTCTATTGCACTTAAGTTACAGCGTCCACGGAGTTAAGTTATCGGCGTTCCTCTCCAGCAGAGTCCGGCCGACTGACACAACTTTGCCGTTCACGCTGACTTAACTCACTTAACTGACTGCACTTCACTATTTCACTGCACTTCACTATTTCACTCACTTTTCTTCTTATTCACTTCTTCCTTTTCTTCCGAATCGCTTTAGACTTAGAACTCAACTGCCAGCGGTGAGCCGCAGTTCTGCTTATATACTCCCGGTCAGGTTCTGGAACATTCAATTTCGTTATTCTTTTTGATCGTCATGCCTCCAGAACCTTCCAATAATTTCGCTATTCATTTTTATTTATTCTCCTTCTCACTCTTTAATTTTTCATCTCTTTCACACAAATAATTCCAGAAAGTTCGACAAAACTTCCATCAACTAAAAAACTTCATGTTTACGGCGGGACTCGAACTCGGGGTCTCTGTGGTGTAATCCACACGCCTTACCAATTACACCAACTCGTATTGACAATTCACGACGAAATTTACAATCTCTAGGCAACGTTTGACAACCATCCATTGACGTCATGATGTCAAAGAGTTTTCTGTCACACTGCCCCCCTCTTAGATTCGCTCGTCCCGAGCATCGTTGCTGCCGTAATACCTCGCCAACCTGTCTATATGGACAACTTTCAAAGGGCTCCTTGAAGACTTCCGAATTCTGTAAGTAATGTCATTGATATTCGTGACTATCTCGTAAGGACCTTCCCAACTCGGTTGCAGCTTTGGAGATTTTCCCTTCCTTCTGACTGGATTATGAAGCCAGACCAATGACCCCTCTTCAAACCCAACAGAATTGGCTCGTCGATCATAGCGCGTCTTTGCGCGATCACTAGCTTGAAGACCGGCCTCCCTGATCTGCTCATAAATGTCCAACATTTTTGCCCTTAACTCGCTTATGTAATCGCTAAACTCGGTGCGAGAGTCACCAGGTGGACAGCCCGACACAAGATCTGCCGGTAATCTCAATTCCCTTCCAAAATTTGCAAATGCAGGCGTCTTTGCGGTACTTTCATGTACAGCAGTCCGATAGGCAAGCAAGAAGAGAGGTATGTAAGTGTCCCAATCTCTCTGATGGCTGTCAACCACCTTTGCTAAGTGTCGCTCCAATGTTTGGTTGAAGCGTTCGACCATTCCATCTGACTGTGGATGATAAGGGGTCGTTCGAGTCTTATGGATTCCCAAAAGTTTACAAGTTTCCTGGAAAACTTGGGATTCAAAGTTCCGTCCTTGATCACTGTGCATCTCCAAGGGCACTCCGAATCGGGTGAATACCTCGTTTACCAACTTCGTGGCTACAGTTACTGCCTCTTGATTCGGTATGGCAAAGACCTCCGGCCATTTTGTAAAATAATCCATAACCACTAAAACGTAGCGATTGCCCGAATCAGTGATTGGAAATGGTCCAGCGATGTCTAAGGCTATTCTCTCCCAAGGCATACCAACATTGTAGATTTTCATCGCCCCTCTGCTTCTTGTTTGTGGACCCTTGACAGCTGCACAACTAGTGCATTTCCGGCACCAATCTTCGACGTCATATTTGCAATGCAACCAATAAAACCTCTCCTTGATCTTCACCAAAGTCCTCCTAATTCCCAAATGTCCTCCAGAAGATCCATCATGGAACGCTTTTAATACATCCCTTATTTTTGAACGAGGCACCACCAATTGCAAATGCTCGTCCTTGCCGTTTGTTGATTCCCATTTCCTGCACAGAAGTCCGTTATGCAGCGTAAGGCTTTTCCACTGTGCCCATAAACCTTTCGTTACCGCGCTATATTGGGCGACGTCACTCCAACTTGGCTTGTTACCACTTCGTAGCCACTCCAGTATTGGTTTAATATCTGCATCTCTTTCCTGTTCTAATTTCATCGCATCATCTCCCCATGCCTCGTCAACAGTATCAGTCCTTATCACCTTAAGAAAAGCAGTTTCCTTCTTGGAACAATGCTTGCAATCTTCCACGCATGGGCGTCTCGATAATGCATCTGCGTTGCCATGAATTCTTCCTCCGCGATGTTCGATTTCAAAGTCAAATTCCTGAAGTTGTTCCAACCATCTGGCTACTTGGCCTTCGGGATCCTTAAACTGAAGCAGCCATTTCAAAGCAGCGTGATCAGTTCTAATCAAAAATTTCCGTCCCAGTAAATACTTCTTGAAATGGTGCAGAGTTTTGACTACGGCCAGCAATTCCCTCCTGGTCACGCAATAATTCCTCTCGGGCTTGGATAGTGACTTGCTGAAGTAAGCAATAACCTTCTCCTGCTCACCATCGCGTTGTGAAAGGACACCTCCTATTCCAATATTGCTGGCATCCGTATCTACTACGAATATTCCTTTCGCGCTGGGGTATCCGAGAATTGGTGTGTTACAAAGCCGTTCTTTTAGTTCTCGAAAGGCTTGCTCACAATCCTCGTCCCAGATAAAGGCACGTTTCTCCTCTGTCAATCGATGCAAAGGCTTGGCAATGTCCGAGAATCCTTTCACAAACCGCCGATAATACGAGCACAATCCAAGAAATGCCCGAACTTGCGTTTTGTCTTTAGGTGTTGGCCATTCCT